TTATGAAGGGAATATAACATTAATGGGAGCCGCTGGGCCGCAAGCTTGACACCGTTGATAACCTCGCTTCTGCTCGCCGAAGTACAGTTTTTATAATTCACTTAAAATGTAAACTCAGATGGGGTTTTAAAGCGTCTGAACCGTGCCGCTGGCATCCATACACATAAAACACGACGTTGAAAAAAGGACGAGATTCTAGATAGAAAAACGGGGCGAGCTTCGATAAAAGCCTTTTAAAATACCGTCGTATGTTTTTGCTTAAAAAGCTCGAAAATTAAAAACCAATCTAAGTTTATTACGACGATGATGAAAAGGTAATAGGATAGTCTAAGAGCATTATGGTTATTTTATCCAGAATGAAAAAGTGGAAAAGTGACTTACCGGAATAGTGTTAATGCTTTGGCTTTTGTACAGTTTTTACTTCTTTATGACCTTTTTCCATTTAATCGAATGGTCTGGCACTGTTTTACGAATTATCATTATAAAACGAGAAAATTGATTCTTTAAGGGGTCGGTATTATTAATTATAAAAAGGACAATTTAAGTTCTAGTACTATATCTTCAATGATGGATTGTAATATCAAGAATACCCTTCATTTCAATTCTTAATTAATAGTAATGTTTAACGCATCAAGTAAAATCTCCAACACAAAAGGCTTCAATGATATCATACGACAGGCCCAAGGGGACATCATTCTTTCTTCATCTGAAGACGAAATATTTAAATTCAATAAAAATACGGAGACTCTAAAAAAAATTGCTATACTGCAGGCACTTATTGTTCAAACCTAAATTTTGCAACGAAGGCTAACGAGCAAAATTTCCAAAATCTGTTTGCTTTAATAAGCTGTTTTTTCCTTTTAATTTTCACAGTGACAATGGTTGCAGCCAAGTAAACAAAAAACTGCAGGATAGAACTATTACTTCGATGACCTGGTTAAAGATTCTTATTGTCTAAAATATGCATGCGAATACCCTTAAAATATCTATCGGAATAAGACATCAAAGTTAACAAAATTGTATAGAAAATTATGTTGTGAGTCTTCTGAAATTATAATCTTGCTAGAAAAAATATACATATATGCAAAACCAAAAAGAAGATTACCTCAACACAAGACTTATACTAAAAATAATACTAGAAGAGATAAGAAGTTTATCCTTGGGTAATATTAAAACATTTAAAAATCTCTTAGGCTTATCAGTCAAATTAAATTTGTTAAAATGAAGGTTGCGTAGACAAAAAATAAATGTAAGTGCATAATTAAAATTAAGCTCTTTATGAATCAGTTGTAATGCTTCCAGTTAAATTAAAATAGTTTAATTAAATTTAGGGGGAACTATAAACTTTGTGTGGTCCTTAAATTATTTTAGAAATCCATGTAGAAAGTGCCCTGATAAAGTTAATAAAAATAGTGTAATGAAATTATGTTGCGGTTGGCAACGTGTTCTGAAAGCTTTGTAGGGCGTACATGCTCAGCATAGTTTTACCGCAATTACCTACGTCACTGACGTATTTTCTAATCTATCTTACATAAATCTGTTTTATTTTAGAGGATTGTACGTATGGACGATAACCCTCAACTCAAGTAAGCCTCAATAATTCAAGAAATTTTTTTGAATATCACCAACCATGAAGAGTGAGCAAAACCAATACTTCTAAGGGGTATAAAGTTCTAAGGAGTACTTCATTTAATATATGGTGCAAGTACAAGACTCTTGGAATCTTAAATGTCGAGGGATTAGAAATGCTTATTGCATTTATAACCGCAATCGTGGTCACGTTAATACCCCTTCCTCCGTCGGCATTACTACGTCGCTGACCTACTTCTTTAATTCCATTACTTGTTTGGGTTATTGCATTCCAATTTCGTCGATGTCATACAGCGTTTCGAGGAAGAAGTTTTTAAACCAAATCGTTTTGTTTGTTGAAAAATTTAAACGCATTTGGTGGATTTCAAAATTCGTAGTAATATGAAGTAGAAAATATTGAAACTTCTCAATGTTTTACTTTTTTGAAACAGTTATGGAAGGAAATTCGAGTTATGCGCGGTACATATGTAGCAAGCATAGAATTTCTAATATTGGTGCCCAAGTGTTTCTCTCGACGCTGAAGTTTCCTCATTAACGTCCTAGCATTATTAATGCATATTCTGTACATCATAACACATCTACGCTGTATACTGTGAGGTATAATAAAATGAGTCAAAGTTATATCGTTCGTGTAAATACTTTTACTATGAATACTTATTTCGAAATTTATCTAAAATTTGTTTTCTAATATTTTCCATGGATAAAGTGATACAACATACAATTCCTATACAATACGAAGTCTTAACTTGCTTCGTTTAATAATTGTACCTTGAATTTCTGAACTACACTGTACAATGCTCTATTTTATGTTTGTTTGTATTACTTACTACGCCAGAGTTGTAAGTGGCCTGGTCAGACGATATCATTCTAGAATATAAACCTAGAACTGAGCTTCGAATATAATGCAATGCCTAAGTAGGCCACAAGAGACTATTGATAATATGGATGATATTGGCTGATTATGTTCATCAACCCAAAACTTTTCATCATATATTATAGAGCCTCTGCCGGAAGCAACCTCTACGAAACTAATGGTTTCGGTTGATTAAGCCGAGGTCGCTTGCGGCCGAGGCATAGCAAGTAATACTACTTATATTACATAAACCCAGAACTGAGCATTGTATTGTAGTACCTCGGACGCAAGTGACCTCGGCTACCAACCTGTTTGATCATCATTGATAAATCAATAGAACTTGTAAAGGTTATATACCTAATCTAACACCTCAGCCTCAAGCGATCTATGTTTCAAACTTGTTTGATATTTATTAATAAACTAGAAAAAGAAGTAGATATTGCATGGCTCATCTAAAGTGACCTCGGTAACTTGAGGCCGCTTGCGGGCGAGGCACTGAGTTTGATAGTTTAACACGAAATCATCAACTTTAGAGGATTCTAGCTTTAAAATCTAGCGATAAACTAACGATTTTTTTATGCAAGTGTAACCTAAGCTTGGCCACAAGATCAGAATTGCTATAAATTGAACGGTTTCACATTTCGTATAATTCAGCCCTACATAAGGGGACTAAAACGAAAAATTAATCTTTTGCAAACACAAAGTTTAGAACTATTATGAAAACTGGAAGAGTTGCCCAAAACTCTGCATGGTTCGTATCCCTAAATCCAAATTTCGACCTTAACCTGTCTATTCTATTTTTAACATCCTTTCAAACGCAATCAATATAACTTAATTTAGTTCTACTCCATATATCTATTATGCTAGTTACCTTTTCAAGAAAAAAATATTTAACATGTTACTTTTGTCGTCTTTTAATCTAAACTTTTTTCAACATTGAAAATAGTTCTTGTCGGTTTAGTTAGATATTAAGGATAATGCGGTTCTAAATTAAGCGCCCTGTTCATACATATTTCTCTAAAATGAGAAATTGAATAATAAATTTGATGCAGACAAGCATCTAACGCGTTGTAATTGGTGTTGCCAACGGTACTACAATTAGAATACTATGTATTGCTCGACGTATTCCAGTTAGAGTTACAAACTATTCATGTTATGTTCACGCATCTTTAAATAATTTATATGTCGCATATTCTCTGTTTAGCAAAATGATGTAACATTTTGCTAAAATGTTTTAAATGGTTTACTGAAACCCAATTTTATATAAATACCATCTCATTTCCGTCGCTGTTCGCACTACATAAATTACTTATAAAAGTTAATTCTTATTTCGAGTCAGTTTAAAGCGTTTCCTGAAAGTTTTGATTGAAAAGATTTTCTCCGCTTAAATTTTCTTCTTCTATTTCTGTTCGCGCCCGTACTTGATACTTTCCGGTCCGTTGTTTTGCGCGGTACTTTGTTTGCAGCGATCTACCACGAAATTAGAGATGCGGTTAATAGAGTTGTAAGAGGGTCGTAAAGACGACCGGCGACTCCACGATGAATACGATGAATACGATTAAAAAGTTTTTGTGACTTCGTAGTTATTAAGGATGGTCTATGTATAGACCTAGACGGAAAAATAAATGTTAATGAAGGTCTTGGTCAGGAATAGATGGGTAAAAAAGAGCCATTAGCTATTTTTGTGTCAGGGATAATGTTCGGGAATGTCTCATTCGTCCTCGAGTAGTCGTCGTTTATCGAAATAGAATAATCTACTTTTATTGTATAATTCAACAATTAATATGGAAATTCATATAGGTGAACTATTTAATTATCAATACCTAGTAACGGAACAAAAGAATAGATAAAAGTTTCAATGTAAGTTTATTTCAATGGAAAAATAAATGATTTGGTGTTGCATTTAAAATATTAAAAACTAACTACAATACTTTATATTATGTCCCAACGTTGTTGACAAAATAAATGATTATTCATATAGAATAGTTCGTCTTTTTGTATTGATAAATGTAAATTAGTATATTATATGCAAAAGGCGGAAAAGCTCGGCTTTAGAATCCACCTTTGAGAATTTGGCATTTCGTATACGGCAATATTCAATTCTCGGCAAATATTCATGGGAAAACTCAGCGGCGCGACTGTTGACATTTCGCAGCCGGTGTGTGATTTACAATCGAAAACTGTTATACCCAGTAATAAGACACAACAAAAAATAGTATACTTTTTCCGCAGTCATATTTCCTTATTTCTAACTTTACATAAAAGAATACTTTGTAATATATTTTAAAACAGATTAATAAAAAGTAGCATTTCAAGTATGAACGAAGTTCATAGTTCAATTTTAAAAATAAAATATGGTTTGTGTTGTTGAAGTTATGTAGATTGATATAACAATAATCTCCTTTATATTACTCAACGTTTAAGCTGTTACTTGATACATCGCCTTTAAAATTACACCAACGACCTTGTTGCTAGATTATAAATTGGTCAAGTCGCACAAAAGTATTAATATATTGTAACATTTAAATCTAATCATCGTATAATATATCAAACTCACCAAAAATTAAAGAAATATAAACTGTGGCGTAGAGCAAATTATTCCTCATTTTCTGTAAAGTTCGATACGCAGTTGGAATTCTGGCAGAAATTGGTGATGAACACGTTCTAATGACACATTTCGCACCAGTCACCAGATACGAGTCCGAAAATTTACAGACTAAAAAAATCCGCCTGACACATCTTCACCAGTTTGAACGTAAGCTGCAAGGCGCGCAACTTGAACTAGTTCTGCTGGATACGGAAGGTCCTGTGCCATCGGCATCGCCGCGTAACTGAAGCGCCCTGATAGCACCCGTTTGAATTAATACGGTTTGGCGCGCATGTCACGGACCTGGAGACTTTGTACTCGCTACCACAACCCTTTTGAGACCGCTGATTATACTATTTAAACACATCAGTATGTTAATGCATTTTTTTATTTTTAAGCGGCACGAAACTACTGTTGATCATATCATCGGTATTATTTAAATGAGTGATCGTTTACTAAGAAATCTGATTTTCAGTTTTTTTTTGTACATGAAATTTTGTTACATTTTGCAAAGTTTTAACATAGAATCGCAATGTTTATTACTGCAATCTACGAATTGTCAACGAGTTAGCAACCGTTTAAAGGGCTAATCGATTTATTGGGTTGAATTTTGACTGACCAAAGTACCAATTAAATTTCCCCATCAGCTAATATTCAGCGCTTGATTGAACTGAAAATAATCGTGTAGTTTAATCTGACTCTGAATAGAAGTTAGTGGAATAACACAAATAGGTAATTTCCGAGCGCATATTGCACATATAGGTCCTTGTTTACTGTATACGCGTCACTAATAAGATTATAGTAGTTCTATAAACAGTAGAAACATTTTTCAAGCTCTAGAACACGACGCCCACAGTTGTAGGTTTGATAGTCCTAATAATTAAGACTTTGGTACTGATATTCTCCATTGTAGATGTAGCCTTTTAGCTAGAATCATAAGAATTTTCCTTTAACAAGTTAGGTTTAAAGTAATTAGGTTTAAACCATGTTGATAGAATCATTCATCAAAAATAATGTTGCTCCCTATCCCCGAGATGTCCTTGATTGTCCGTCTCACAATGATGGCTGCTATATGTATTGATAGTATTTCGTGCAGGGTGGATGTATCCACACACATTATTAGACAAATTAGTCTTTACTATAAGTATATCCATAGTCAAGCGGAGATAGAAGAAACCTTTAAATACCTTAGAAATAATAAGTTACCTGTAAGCGACCAAATCTCGAAATTCTTTCATTACACAAAATATATAAGCAAATATCGATTACAGAAAAAATTCTCGAGAGGTGGAACCTGAGGATCATCTAAGGTATTTCGTTATTAAACAGAGCATATAAAGTATTCCCCAATGTACTATATAAAAGATTACTTCTTTGTGCAGATAAGCTTTTAAGAGAGTACCAATGTGGATCCCGGCCAGATAGATCAATGACGAATCAAATATTTGTTCTACATCCGAAATTGGAAAAGGCTCTAGAGCACAACATCCGTCGCAAAAAAATTGGTTTACCTGGTAAAAATTACAATAAGAAACGTCAAATTCTGCATAAAACACAAAATAACATCTTAAAGAATGCAGGAGTAAATTACGGACTTCGTCAGAGGGTCGCGGTGGCTTACTTCATGTTCAACATACGCCTGGAAAAGACGGTGAGGGATGCTAACGGAAGTTCGAGAGTTCTGTTAACTAAGTTAACTGAGAATAGGAACATACACAGCACTGACAGGCTCAGCCAATAGTTATGGCCTATAAGTAAATGAATAAAAAGCAAAGGTCATTCATGACAATAGAGAGAATCTTGCAAGCAGCACTGAGAATTTCGAAGAGGTACGGGACTTTATACATCTTAGTTTCAGCGAATGTGTTGCTCAAACAACTCTCCAGCCGTAAAATGGACAGAAAACCAAGCATTTTTTAGCATTTTTTCGCTAACATCTCAACTATTAGGAAAACTCGAGAAACCAGATGTCATGATTAGAATTGAGGTCATGCGATTACAATGGGTGAGTCATCTGAAACAATCACCAGATGCATATGGATCGAGGAGGATCATGCACGCCAAACCACAAGGAAGGATGCAAGAAAGACTGACATTGAAGAAATACTGAAAGCTGGACATCATCTGCACAAAATAAAGGTGAATTGAGGAGGAATATTTGAGAAGCCAGGACTCTCACACGATTGTAGGGCCAGATGTAGATATTGATGGTAATAATTATGCCAAAATTTGATTTTTATGAAACAATTTTTTAATGATCAACTAGTCTAAAATACCTGCTATCCTGGAATTGCTGGGAGATGGTCTGGAAAAATAAACCTGAAATGTTACTTGGCCATATCAGTGCATCTAAACTGCCAAAAACACCGAATAGCTCTCAGAACTTCCTAATTATATATATCTTTATATAGCTTAAAAAACAAGACTAAAAGATGACTTACCTAATATCAATAGGAACCATGACATCTAACAAGACACCATTTTCTGCTGACAGCCTGGAAAGAAAAACTTGAAGGAGAACCACTGTATGTATTTGATCATATTAATACATTAGCTTTCTATAAATGATAGAGAAAAAGAATGTTATTGTGGTAACAATCTTGCAACATGATAAAAGCGTGCTGTCAAAACAATAATTTTGAAAAATTAACTGCTGTTAACGAACACACTTAAATGGTGTGATAAAAGATTCGGCATAGAATTTTATTTGTATAAAAATCCAGCTTTTACTGACGAAAGTTTAAACGATAACTTCCTAAAATAGCCAAATGATACAAAAAACTCTAAAGAGAACAAATATAATCGATTTTCTAGAAATGTTGAATTTGTAAAAATCGTTTAAATATTGTGCTTTCATGGCTATCTAATATTTCTCTTCCCCCATTTACCCAATTACTAGCTCAGCAGCTCATGTTGGGTTCATCGATTCGCCAGCGGCAGCAGGGTTTAACTGTTTGTCCGCCTGCGGTCTGTCATCGTCCAGTTGGTAACCGTGCCGAACGTTGGTCATTCCCGAATTGGAGAAATCAGGTTAACATTTATTGTTATTGGGTAAACGAACGTTACTGCGACGGAAGGCATTGACGGGTGCGCACGTCGATCGACGGCTATTGTCATTTCAGGTTCGCAAGTTTGAACTTACTCCCAATGCTCCTCTCGCACGTACGAAATGTGTTGTCCTATCCTAATTAGTATCACGCGGTCGTGGTTTATTGTTAAAATACACAAATTTTAATAATCCAAATATATTACTCTTATCTTGTACTTAATTTTCATATTAATTATAATTTATTGATCCGTGCATAATTTTTAAATAATTTCTAGTAAACTAAAGTCTTAACAGCAGTTAAGGCACTATATTAAACTTTATGACGGTTCTAAGCCGTTTTATCAGGCCATTAGGAATAATGCTGACGTTTTATGCTAACCGTTGTCACCGTGACTTTTTATGGATTATGTAAGATACAGTGTCGCATAACCATAACGCAAAATGTCCTTATATCAACGTATTCATCTGGAATGTACGAAGCACGTAATTATAATCTAACACGAAATTAATTAACTTCTATTATACAAAGAAATATAAAAATGTTTGCATAGCACGTAGGAATGCAATTATTCCGAAAGATTGAGTACATTGATAAGAAATCGATTTATAAATTTCAACCATTTATTTGTTTGTTCCAGTTATATCTTAGTTCGTAGAAGATTATCTTGGAAAATGCAATAAGCTCAAACCGCAACAGGATTTCATTTATACGCGAGCAATAAAAAAAGAAAGAATTTGAAAGCTTTCACGAAATCAGGTCCTTCTATTTCTGCAAAGGAAAATCCACTGAATATTCTAGGTTTGAAGGCGATTCAAGCGGAAAACTCGTCCCTCCAATTTTCAAACCGTTATTTCACATCGCGCTTCCCTGACAACAACAGAACCCCCAACTATTCCGCCCCCGTCAACCGGACGACTTTTAACCGGGTCTCGCGGAGCGCGCCCTTTAATAATGCAATCAAAGTTTCTTTCTGCGGCCAGCTTGAGGGAGATAAAGTCGAGACCCTCGGCGACAGCTCCGCCCCGTGTGTGTGTCTGTCTGTGTGTGCGTATCCGGGAACGTTCTCTCCTACAGGAAACTTGGGAGACTTTCATCTCGACCGGGTCGACGGTAATGTGCAGTCGTCATCCTTCTTTCAAAAATAAATTCCGGGAAAGAATTTGCGAAGATATTTAGAAGGTCTTACCTCAGGACAGTGACCACTGCCCCACATCAAGGGACGAATGAGTAAAGGGAGGGAAACGTACTGGATGAATGGGATGGGATACATACAATATATATAAAAAGTGGATATTATGGTGGAATTGAAGTGGAGGGAGAGATCGTCTCTATATAACCTATAGAGTCCTTTCACATCGGTAACATACATTTATTATTTTTGGAATAAATAACATGCATTTCAGAAATGTAACTAATTTAGATGTTATTTGTTCAAATATCTTAAAGATTCGAATGATCTGTGAGGATAACTAGATACATAAATCTTTTATCGGATTATCTAATTGAATTAGTTGCTCTAATTGAATTTCTGCTTATGGTGCAAGTTCCTCGATCGGGATGGTTTAGAGTGCGAGAGAATGCACACTGAATACACCGGAGGGACGGTGTTTAATTAACTTTCGGGCCCCGACATAGCCGTTGTCCATAAAAGGCGTTTACAGTCCGGGGTGTGTAAATGGGCGTTCGAAGTGGCCGGAGGTGGATAAGGGAACTCGCGACAATAAGAATTTTAATCGCCGCGCAATTTATCTGGAGTTTGGAGGACAGGAACCCTTTTATGGGTCAATCGAATTAAACTTGCTAATGGGACGACGTTTCCAGATTATTGCCGCTAAAAATCGCGCTAATGGCGCCCAATAAATGGGCTTTCGATTCGGAATACGGCGGCGGCCGGATTAAGTTTTTAATATAGACTTAATTAATTTCCACCCCATTGTCTCCTATCAAACGCTTCAGATGATTTATACTGCGACTGAGTTTATAATGAGAGAATATTTGAAGTGCTATCTTAATGACACTTCATCCCAGACCTGTTTATTGGTATCCTTAATTTCTTTTATTTATTGCAAATAAACCGATTCTAATTTCAATAATTTTGTTATAATTGATACTAACTTAGATGCTCTAAAACTCAAATATTACAAGATAAAATATTTCTTTTTTAAAAAGTCCTTCCCTACGGTATGAT